GAGTTCAGTTTCCCTACTTGTTTACTTAGTGATTATGAGTAAATAAGACATATGACTTATTTCATGTTAACGCTTACTTCATAATTTAAAGTCAAAAGAGGATATAGGTAAAATCTCAAGCTCAGGAGGTAGGAGTTCAAGACTTACAAATGCTGTCGTTCTTTTTTGTACTTGAGCAGTCAGAACTGGAGACAGCTGTGTTGATGTATGTGTGACTTAAAATTTACTTCCTCCAAATAAATTTGCTTTCTTCCTTTGTTGCTTCTGAAAGCACTAATATTCCGGAAAAAAAATAAGCATGGACTCCTGAACTTGTGAACCTGAGGGAAATCTCTTTTTTTTTTTTTTTTTTTGACCTAAAGTATCTTTTTTTTTTTTTTTTTTCTTCCCCTCTTCCTGATAAACACACACAGTGCAATACAAAGAGGAAAAGATGTGTTGCATTGTATGCATGTGTAGACGTGAGGAACTTTGTGGAAGTTCAACTCTTTTGTGGAAGTTCAACTCTCTATACTGGTTAGTCTTTCTTGGCTTATAAATAACTATTGAGGAAAAATCAAACTCTTAAGTGATTGCTAAGATCAATCTAGCTTATAAAATCAAACACAAAAAATACAGCTGTGGCAGCTGTTCCACAATGGGTTTATAGACGGGTTTATACACAGAAGTTTGTTTTAAGTGGAAAATGAGTATTTTAATGGATTTGATGGGCTACGCAAAGGAAAAAAGCAAAATGAAATAAATATGATGGAGACACAAATGAGATTGAAACAAAATTTGGTAAAATTGGAGTAATATTCAAGGCAGTAGTGCTTAGCTGCTTAGTATGTAAGTGTGGCGTACGCAGACTTTGAAGCTGCCTGCTGTGTTAATGGGCAATTCATCATGAGTGCGTGAGCTGCACCAGACTTCTGTTGATTGACTGAAAATGAAATGTATTTATTTTGTATGTGTTTATTTGGGAGTTAGTTCAGGTTCCTGTAGTACCCTGGGGTCAATGTCATGTCTGTGCAAGTCTGGAGCCAAGTGGTCCCTGCAGACATCTCAGTGGTGCAGGAGACATTACAGGACGATCACGCATGTTCTCTGTACAAATATTCACAGTAGTCCTGTGTGTTTCATCTAGTAGATGATTTCTGATTCACTGTTTCTGTTCTTAATTTGAGTAAAGGTCAGGGCCTTTCAGGTGTTTGTCATTTAGCTTCCCATTTAGACTTCTAGACAGCTAATCCTGTTTTCAACTTTGTGTGGCAGATACTGTTTAATATTTCTAGAAGATATGTCTTTAAGGAGGAAATCTTTAGGAAAGATTTGTTTAGAAAATGTTTAGAGGTAGTACTTTATAATGGAAAAACATTTGTAGGCCTACACATGACAATTATTTGTTGAATAAGCATCTATTAGATTTTAGTGTGGGCGTATACTTATGGTAATGGTAAAATTCACAGTTGCAGGTTCTAAATTTGTCTCAAAGACTATGAGAAGTGCAGAAGGTGTTAATGCTTTGTTGTATTTGTGATCAGTTAAAAAGCAGAACGACTGCTCCATCTACTGGTGTATAAACACCCCAGACAGAGCTGCTCTCTTAAACACCTTGTGTGCACTGGCACAGCTCTGTGAGTAACTCTCTGCAGAAGGGGAAATTAAAAGTACTGGGATTAATTGTTCAGCTGATGGTCAGCCAATAGATTTCTCTGAAGACACTGGGTAGTGTTTAGCTAACTTTTACCCATTTCAAACACTTGTACTTTACTTTTTCTACCTTTACTAGCTAGAAGTTGAAAGTCATATTTTTCTTTTGTTAAAGTACAACTTAGAAAGTACAGAGCATGTTGTAAAATTCTTACCCTGTTCATTTACATATTTTGTATAATACTGTGTGTTTGGATTGTTTCTCCTAAGATCTTTCATATGGGAAGAAGTAAGACAAACTTGCCCGCTGGGTTTTCTCTTGTAATGAAGTACATTACTTCAGTATATTTTTTGAGATTAATCAGAATTTTATTTTTTTCTTTTGTGAAAAGAAACTATTTACATCTGATTAACTATTAAAATTGCTAAGAATGGGGAAAAAGTCTCTATCACATTCTGCTTCACACTTTGCATGTTTCTTAATTTTCATTGGTGTTGAGGAACAGCAGATCATGGGATAATCCATCATTATTCTGACTGCAACTAAATGTTTTAAAGCCAGGTTACTTATTTTTTTTTCTCATAATATCATACTTAGTGTTATATTATACCACATGAAATAATGTGCATCAAAAATCTGTCCCAAGTTGTATCATGTAGCTGCGTTCTGACCTCTATATTAAACATAATTCAGATTATATTTTGACTCATGTGATGTGATGGTTGTGCAAAATATATATTTTTTAAGCAAGGATGCTGATAGAATGGAAAGCCATCATAGACCTGCCTGCTTTGTTTTTGTAGATCCTTCTTGTTTGCTTGACTAGTATTATAGCTACTGTTCTAGCAAGGCTGTTGTTTCTTGAAGCTAAAAGAAGCTTTGCGATAGGTCCTAGAATTAATGTGCCGGATCAGAATAGCTGTGATTTTTATAGGAAAAGTCCAAGTTAATTGACAGATTGGTCTGCAAGGGCAAAAGCTATCTGTCATTCAAAGATATTTCTCTATTGTTTTCTTTTTCCTTTATTTTTGCTTTTTAAGAACTTTGTCAGTAGAGCTAAGAATATTGGATATAGATATTTAGTGGCTTGGTATAGAATAAACATTTTTCTATGTAGAGAATAACAGTGTAGCTGAATTGAATTTCACTCCAAGATTGACCACTATAAAATAGTAAACACAATTAAGGTGCATGTGAAGACTGAAAGGGAGCACCACCTCTTTAATATAGTTAATAGTAGAACACAGATGGCAGTTTATAACCCTCCTGTATTAAGGAAAAAAGTCTTTTAACTGTTTGTGTATATCAATGTATATCTTTTCTATATTGCAAGTAGAACAATCGTTTTGACTCAGGGCTGAACATTGACATTGTCCCACATATGCAATTAAACATTCCTGTATGCATGGCTGTTTGTTTTCAGAAATGTTTTATGATAGCCATTGTTTCCCTAGAAAGAATGGTAAATGTTTTAATGAGCTTATAGTTGATTATAATGAGCTTATACCTTATTGTAATGAGCTTATTTAATGCGTGAGGATTTTTGCTGCCTGGATGATAGAAGTGTTGACAGCCTGTGTGTGCTCTGCCTTCAAGAGGCAAGGCAGAATGAATGAGCAAATACCATTTATGTTATCTGCTGCTAGAGAAAGGAATTCCATTAAGAACTGCTACCTGGGCAGTGGTTGATAGGAATAATGTCTATTATTATTTAGACACAGATTTCTTATTGCAAATGGAATAACATGTGCTTTTTTTTGTCCTTTTTATACTTCTTTTGACTCTCTATTGAGTTCATTTCCTAATTACACAATAGGAGGACTTGATCTCTAGTGAACTGATACTTAAGATGTGGGCCAGAGAGTAGACAATGGGAGTGAATAATGATTTGAGCATAACAAAGTCCATAGCAATTTAATATTTTTAAAAATATTTGGCCTATCTACTGCAGCTGTAACACTACATTCTAAAAGCTTTTTTCAGTGATTATGACGTCTTATGAAAATACTATGAAGGGCCTTCATAGTCTTGTTGAATAATCTTGTGTTGTCTGCACGCATCTGTATGCCTGCAAGCACATGTTTACGAAAGCAAAAAAAATAAAACCAACCCAAGCCCACCAACAACATCACAATATATCTGAATTAACACGATATATCTGAAGGTAGCTAAAAGCAGAGATCTGTGTGGAGAGGGCAGATGGGGCTGCATGCAGCTTTCTGACGTGTTTTCAGTAGGTTGGGTTGTGGGCAGGTGAAGAATGTAGAGCAATCTAAGTCCTCATGTGAGCTGATGGCCTGGATCCTCTCTGTTGCTGCCAGTACTTTTGCTCCTAGCATTGTAAACGTGAGGGGTCTTATGTATCAGAGCCCCTGTGTCATTTGGTTTAATTGATGAAAAGCTATTTTGATAACCTGCTTGTTTGCCTGTATCATCAATTCTGTCCCTGTAGGACAGGACAGTTTAAATTTGTGTCAATTCAGTTGCTGGACTTCTGCATTATCCAGCTCAGGTTTTAGCTTGTAATGGTCAGTGTATTCTGGAAATCAGTGGCTGTTTGCAAGCTATGTCCCACTCCATAAGCTAGAAAATGTAATTCATTCTTGATGCTACTTAAATTGTGGCTGCTTGATAGTGCACATTCAAACTGGAGCCATGCTGACAGAAGCTGTCTACTCACAATCTCTAAACTTAATCATTACTCTTACTTTTACAGTAACGTAGTATAGATGTAATTATAGGTACCCATATGTATGTATGGTATGTTTGTATGTGTATACTACATACTATATAAATATACATGCCATTCATATGTATTCTATTAGATGAATGAATTTGTTTTTTGTGCTTGACATACAAATACTGCTTAGATAAATGACCTGGTATTTTTTCCTAAGTGCTGAACACTTGCAATTCAATAAGATGCACTTAAGCATTAGACCTCTCTTGTTCTTGTGATCGTATCATCTGGTTTTATTGTTCTCTAAGCAGTCCTGTCACTCACCACAGTAGTTTAATATGGCAAAAACCAAAAGGAGGAACAACTGTTGTGTATTTCTTAAAGATTAATTTTGTTGTAGTTATATCTGCAGTGCTGTTAATACAATATTATACTGTTACTCAGTATGATATGCATTGCATAATGTATGCAACTGTATATCTTGTGTAGAATGTTTTGAGCCACATCTTTGCTCAGTTACTAGGATTTTGGTGCTGCAGATCAAAATAACTGAAATTGTAATAACATATAATGAGATGGAGTTGTACATAAGATAGACTTTGATGTCTCAAGTGTTTTGGCTGACTTAACTTGTTCACTTGGCCTTTAGGCTGAATTATTATTCTCTGTCTTTCTTTCTCACCCCAGATTAATTTCTTGGTTGTGAAGAAGTGTGAGCGCCTCGTGCCCTAATGGGGGACTCAGGATCCAGGAGATCGACTCTAGTGTCTCGGTTGCCAATATTCAGAAGAAGTATTAGCCGGAGACATGACTCCCTCCCTTCTTCGCCTTCCTCTGCCAGTACTGTGGGTGTGCACACCTCCTCCCCATCCAGCACTAACTCCAGCTCAGGGAGCACAGGCAAGCGCCGGAGCATATTCCGAACTCCTTCCATTAGCTTCCATAACAAGAAGGGGGGGGAGCAAAAGCCTGATGCCGCCAGCCAGAATGTTAACATCTCAAATGGTGCCCAGCCCTCTCTCAGTACTTTTCAAAAACTGTGCCTGGAGGAACACATTAAAAGCAGAGGAAGGCATTCGGTTAGTTTTGGCAGTTCGCGTAGCAAGAAGATAACAAGGTCTTTGACAGATGATTTCGAAAAAGGAAAGGAATCTTCAGCTAATAAGAATGTCTTCATAAATTGTATAAGCTCTGGCAAAAACGAGGGTGACGATTCTGGCTTTGTGGAGGAACAGAGCCGCTACTCTGTCAAACAGTCCACACGAAAACTTCTCCCTAAATCTTTCTCATCGCACTACAAGTTTTCCAAACCGGTTCCACAGAGTCAGTCAGTTTCTTCTGTGCAGCAGACTGGGTGCGTGCTGGAGATAAAATCCTATGTTGAAAGTGAGCCAGTGATTGCCACGTCCTCTTCTCCGTGCTCAGCTGAGGTGATGGAGTGCATGGGGAGTGCTTTGCAGTCTCCACTGCTCTCGGCTGACCTCACGGCTGTCCAGACCCCCTCTGACTTCATAACCTTGACGGAGGATTCTGTTTCAGAGGTTGATGCTCTGCCCGGCAGTGGGAATGGTGTGCTGCTAGCAGAGGATTTTGGCCATAGTGTCTCTACCTCTCAGATAATCTTTAATCCTGCTGCTGTTCCGGTGAAGGAAATGGATTATGTGGGAAGTCCTTGCCAGTCTGCTGCTGTATCTCCTGCAAGTCATGCAAGCTTGTGTAGTGTTGAATCTAATACTTTGTTCAAAACTTCAGCTGCTAATCAAACGAAAGTATCATTGCAAGCCAATGAACTACATGTTACAGATGCCAGGCACAAAGGAGAAATGAACTCAGAAAAGGTGAATTTAGAAACCTTTGCATTACAGCATAAAGAAGAACTGGGGATGCACTCTCCAGCAGCTAAGGAATTGAGTGGGGACCAAGAGGAAATCACGTTCTCCAAGCACAAGAGAGAAACAATTCCTGTAACAGAGCCTAAGATTATTCAGTGTTCTGAATCTCAGTCCTTTAAAATGCAACAGGGATATGAAACAAACCATCCTAACGGTATGTACTCTTATTTAATTGTGAGGTTTGATGGTTTGGAAGTTGACTTGCTTTCTTTTTCCCCTTAGTTATGATTTAGAGATTGTTCGGTTGTTAAGTATTAGTTTAGCTTTGTCAGTGCTATCTAGAAAGGTGAGAAGTTATGAATTGTGTTTTCCTCCAAAATCAAGCTTAAATCAGAATAACAAAAGGTATAAAACAAAAACCGTTGTTTTTTTGGGATTCAGGTTTTACCATTTAGTACTAATAACATCTCTCAGTGATGTTGGTATCTTTGTTTTCTTTACATACGAAATGCATTAAGAAAGAAAATTGATTCTTGCCTCTTGTTGAATGGAAATTGTGGGATTTTTGAGGCATGCATATTTTGGACTTGAGTTGAAGGCTTGTTGTTTGGCGAAGAAAAATTGCCAAAAAATAAGCCTCCTTTAGCTGATTATGAACAATAATTTACTTTGTATCTTGCAATACTCTAGGTTTCGAAAGTTCCTGATATTCACATGCTTTTATGCTGTGATGAAACGATGCTGTTAAGTAGCTTGAAGGAAATGTTACAGTGACAGAATAAAATAGTATATTGCTGTTTCTATCTGAAACAGTGCTGTGCAGATGGGCATTTCACAGATTGTATGATGGAGAATGTTGACGATCAGCTGGGTCTTTAACTTTGAAAAAAGAGTTTGAAAATACTAACAAGATGGAGTGAATAAACTATTCCTCAATCTCAGTTTATAGAAAATTGTAAATAAAATCTCAAAGAAAATCATTCTCTGCTCTGATTGAAAGAACCATGTTTAATATCAACCTGAGATGTAGTATCTGATAACTTGTGGAACTTCTGTCATTTTGACTTTGTTTTCCATGTGCTTCAGCCTAGATCATGCCACTTAAATACAGGCATTTGTTGACTTTGACTTGTGCCAGATTTGTACAACTGTTTGCAAGTCTGGTCAGGAAAGGCTGAGTATCATAGAAGCTGGAAACGAAGTTATAAGCATGAAGTTCCACTCACAGGACAACTCTTCTGAATAATACTTCCTGTAATTCAGGAGGAAACAGTGATTTGCTCTTCCCCTAGACTATTACACGTCTATGGGACTGGATGGGATCTAGCTGAGGGTACTGAAGAAACTGGCAGAAGTGCTCACCAAGCTACTCTGCATCATTTATCAGAAGTCCTGGTCAGCTGGAAAGTCCCAGATGACTGAAGACTTGCCGTGAGAGACCCATCTACAAGAAGGGTCGGAAGGAAGATTGAGGGGAAGCCTGACCTCAGTATTGGAGAAAGTTATAGAATACGCCATCTGAAGTGTGATCACACAGCTTCTGTGGGACAACCAGGGGGATCAGGCCTAGCCAGCTTGGCATGTCATGCTTGACCAGCTTGACTTCCCTCTACAGTGTTGCAATGATGAGGTGACTTGCACTGTGGATGGGAGAAAGGTTGTTGACATAGTCTACCTAGACTTCAGCAGAGCATTTTATGCTATCTCCCACAGCATTCTCCTGGAGAAGCCTGGACATTTACTTAGTCATGTAGATTATAAGCAATCGGAAGCAATCTTACTCTTCAGTTATTTTTCACTGTACTGGATTGTTGGATATCTTGTTCATAAATGGATACGTAACATCAAATTCATCCCCTAAATTAGCTTTCACGAGAGGAGACCTGTTTATCTTGAACCTTATTCAGGTGGGACAAAAAAAAAAAGATGTTTCAATTTAAGTATGCTATCTGTTCTGAGCACTTTGGCTTTTCTTCTTTGGCTCACTTGTGAAATGGGCTCACACTTATTAATCTGATTTAGTAGAGTAGAATAGTTACAATGAAAAACAAGGAGTGTCTCAAAGTGATCAGTTGCAAATTGTGTGTATTTCTAATCATGCATCAGCAATTGTATACTTAATGTGTATGCCTGTAAGACAGCTTACTAGTGTTGGAAGTGTAATAGACTTTTGTAAATGAACTTAATATTCAGTTAAACACTCCAGCTAATACTGCACTACTTAAAAGTCGGTGATTAATTATTATGGTTTTTTAATTCTATTCCAAATGCATTCTTTTTCCAATTTGTATAGTGAAGAATTTATTTAAAATTAGAAAGTGATCAAACACATTTAAGGAAAAAGTGCAGAAAATCTTGTTTTGTGAAATAAAATGAGCATAGCAAAAGTTTGTAGTGTTGGGAAAGATGTAATTACAAGTATTGTTATTGGTGCCAACAGACGTTTTTGAACACTGAATAGTATTTAAAACTGGGTGCCAATGTAAAGTATTTCTGTACACTTTATGTAACAGTAAGTACTTTCTCTTCCATGGTTGGTCTGAGGGCAGATTTCAGTGGTTGACAGCATCATAAAATGTGACTCAAATGTCTGACCAGATTGGACATTTGCATTGCAATGCATTTCTTAATATATGCCTACATAGTTTTATGCGATACTTTTTTTTTTTTTTTCTTTTTGTAAAGCTGTTAAGGAAATGTCTGCTTTCTTGCAAAAGGCATAAGACATTAAGATTTTCACGTGTGTTACATTTATTATGTGTCATGATTTCAAGTACAACCGGGCAAGGGGACCCCTTACTCCCTTTCTGGGGAGAAGGGAAGAAATGATCCAATTAAGGTAAGAAGGGATAACAAATGTACTACGAATGGTAAAAGAATGTAAGGTGATAATAAAAAGAGTTACAATTAATAACTCAAACAAGTGAGGAGAAAAAGAAGGCTATTACCATGCTGTTGCTTGCTGGGCTGCTGGAAAAGCCACCCCCTGTCACCCGGAATCATAGGTCATATGGAAGCCCTTGGGAAACAAATTACATCTCAGTGTATCTTCATCGTGGAGAATTAGAACTCATGTGAAACTGCTATAGAGAACATGAGACAAGGAAGTACAGCTCCACAGTGCACTATGTCTCTACACCCAACAGCCTGTTGCATGATGTCATGCTGTTGAATACTGATATCGCTAGGACGTTATGCTATTTTGTTTTCCATTTTTCCCCATCTCTGAAGTTGACTTAGCACTTGAAAACGTAATTTTCTCCTCTTTTTCCGATGTTATTTTACTTAATGGGAGTTGAGGTCCAGGATGCATCCTGCAATATGAGTTTGGAGAGCATGGATGAAGAACTGTGCTATACGCTTCTAACAAAGCCGTGACCTGGCCCTACAGAAGTTAGGGACAAGATAAGACAGGTTATGTTTTTTGCACCAGGGTATCAGTGATAGTTTTTCTGGTAGATTTTACTGGACAATAGTTTGGAAGCCTCCAAGACGAAGAGCGAAAAGAAGGAAAGGCTATGTTTTAGTTGGTTCAATAGGATCTGTTTTCTACAGGATACCTTATGGAAATTATCACTGTTACAATCTTATGTGATTCCTTGCTAAGCATTTGAAGTGAAGTGTTTTCTGTAAGAAAATATTTGTGGAGAATAATTCTCTGTAACGCTTGCTGATTGCATGTCTATTTGTAGTTGATCTTGCCAATAGCTTCAGTCCATACCGAGAAGGCAGATTTATTGAGAAGAGACTCAGATCGTCCTCGGAAGGCACTGCTGGAAGCAGTCGACTGATCATAAAACCAAAGGATGGCAATGCAGACGAACTTAACAGCCTACGGAAGCAGCGAGCAAGCTCATCCTCTTCAAAAATGAACAGCATGGTGAGTTGATTGCTGTGTGTGTGTGTTTTTATTTCATTTACTAGTGCAGCTATATTAAGCAGCAAATTTGCAAGATGGTAAAATGTAACTTAAATGCGGAGTTGAGCTTTCAAAATGTGGTTCAGGCTGAGCGACAGAGATGGAATTTTTTTTTTTTTCTTTTTTTTTTCAGGCTGTTACATTGTGGGAAGTATTGTACATTTGCGGTGAAGAGCTTGTTATATAGTTGTGCTTCATAGATTTGCCTGGGATAAAAATACTGGGAGAGTCGACTACAACAAAATTCAGTATGAATATTGCTGAAATGCAATACAGTGGGCAACATTTTGAGTTTTACTGTTGTAGTTATTCCACTGAATCATGCACAATGAGAATGAGATGAAATTGAGAAGTTTTGTAGAGAGGAATTTGTTGGTAAGGAAGATGATCATGGAAAGGTTTGGATAGTCCCTTCCAAAACAGGTGAGAAAGTTCAGTGCTTTCACCCTAAGAGCAAAGTAAGGAGGGAGAGGAAATCTTCCCTTCTGAGAATTCTTGAAAATCCCTCTGATTTTCAATTGGGTAATCTCTGACACGTTGGATTGATGTGGGTTAGTGCTTCAGACCCTTTTTAGGGTGAAATAGTAATAAAAGAAAGGACTGGCATTATGTGCTGTCCTATAGGGAGTGAGAATGAACATTTTAGGATGAATGTAATTTATACTTGTGCATATACTTTCAGGTGAGAGGAAAAAGATGCTAAGATCAAACGTATATGGCGATGGCATCGACTCTTCAGCTTATATAAATCACTAAAATAAGTTCTACAGCTGTTCTGAATTTGGGGTACTTTACCTGATATTCTAATTGAAAAAAGAAAGATTCATTTATACTCATACGTAAAACCAATTTTGTATAGAAAGAAAAAAATCTCAAAGTCTATTATTGTTGCCCAGTGTTGCTAAATAGATCTATAAGGAGCATTTTTTTCCCCTCTTTGGGTTTACTTAACACTACTTAACAGTCTTTGTGTTGTTCTGGTCTAGGACCAAGCACCATTCTAAGAGACTCTGACGTAAACACAACTGACTTTTCTAAGAGAGGTTTTATTTGCAGTTTTTAAAAAATGTGAAACTAATTTGTGCAAGCTCATGCTAGATTTCCAAAGCACGTTATTCCAAAACAGCATGTTTTTTTTCTTTTGCAGAAAGACATAAAAGCTGAACAACTGATACTGTTATTTAGGTAATGTTTATGACTGTATTACCTTGCCTGCCACGGAAGGTAGCATGTTTTTTCTCTCTCATGGAAGCCTAAATTTTATTGGATTCACTCATAGTGGTTCCTGGTCAGTGATTTAGAAGTAGCTCCCAAAACAATTGAATAACGTAGTATGAATTCCCCTTACGGAAGCTGCTGAATTGGGGTTTTTCTTAAAAGATTGTCAAGTTTGTCTTTTGGTTGTGGTAAATCTCACCCACATCTAAATGTGCTATCTAAACCTTAATTCATAGACTTAGTAGTTCTGCTCTCCTACAGCAAGAGAAAATGACATCATTACAGATGACATTGTTACTACGTACAGCCAGTGCACAACAATTTTCTGTTATGCAGGTTTTTATGGCCTATGTACCACTGTCTTGAATACTCAATTGAAACAGAATTACTTGATGTCTTTTACACAAACACTTCACTCACTTTGTATGACCTGTGGAGTGTGGAGTACCTACTTGAATGACAGGATTATTCCTTCCTCAGCACTATCATATTGTGCAGATAAACCAGTATTGAATAACTAATTTAATTATATATATCTGCTCTTCTCCCACCTTTCTAGTTTGTTGCTAGCTTGTTAAAAATAAACTAGCTGGTTAAAAATAAAGTGAAATTTATGTCAACAACAAAAATACCACCACTTGTATTAATAAATTTACTCAGCTATTATACTCAAAGAAGCAAGATGGAAATGTTTACTAAATTGTAGATGAATCCTTTGTGCTTTTAAAGTTTTCAATCACAGCATAGTTATTCAGCAAGTTCACATCCAAATATCAGTGAATCATACATTCCAAAACCAGAATACTGTGACATTAAAAGCTCCTGTTTTCATATAAGCATAGAGAACTTTATGCAGATGTAACTTCTGCCCTAAAGAGCTCGCTCACTCTGTCATAAGACTGTAAACCCTACTTAACTCATTAGAGCTGAGTTAATAGTCTGGTCTTTGCATTTATTTAAACAGTAGACATACTTCTTTGTGTTTGGTCTGGTGTTAATGATGCAATAGGGAAGGTAACAATACTTGAACAACAGGAAAAGAACTAAATGTGCATGGGCGTGTGATTTGGGTCTTTTTTTTTTTTAATATATTGTGCATGAGAATCCACTTTTGTGTTTGTTGTTTCTTTTAACTAACGTTAGTGAGGTTGTCTTCAGATTCACTAGTATTTGCTTGTGACATAGTCACAGTCCCAGAAGTTTTGTGTTACAACTGCTGTTCACCTCCATGAGTACAAGTTTTTTCAGATTTTCCACCAGTACGTACAGGTACTATCTTTGTATGTTCAGAGAAATGCTAGATTAAATCTTCAATATATTTTTTTCAAGTTTTAACAGAAAAACAGGCAAAAGAAGAAGCTGATTTTCCGAAAAGGAATTAGAAATTGAAGGAACTATGTTCATAATAATACGTAACTGAAGGCCTCTTCACTGTACTTGTCACAAGCAATTCATGTTTAACACCTCAGTAGCAAATTGTTGCCAGTGAGTCATCACAGGCACCATTTCCTCACAAACTGAAGAAAGTCTTCCAGAAGTTCATTTGTTTTTGTTCTTGTTGGCATACAGCATGGGATTCTTCTGCTGCCTGCCCAGAGGGGAACAGGAAACAGATAAACTGGGGGAATTCTAGGTTTGTACAGGGGAGGAGAAAAAACCCAAACTTGGAGATTCAAGAGTTTGAATAACTGTTCTTCCTCCTAAACAATTCTCTCAATGTAATATGCTTGCATGATAGTAGTGTTCTTTTCTAAGACAACCAGTAAAGGCTTAGATAGATCAATCTCCTACAGTATGTATCAAATGTACCAAGAGGGTTGGCAGGTCCTCTAGCAGTAGCATTGATTTATTTGTGAGGCTCTGAAAGTTAATTAATAATCTGGATGTGTAATGGAAAAAAAAAAAACAAACCACTTTCTGCAAATGTGCTGACTTCCTAGCTGTGTAAATAATGAACTGAAACAGATGTGTGAAATTAACTGATCAGATTACTAATTATGTATGTTTTCATCAGAATAGGCATTGTATTGAGAGTCATTCTTGCAGTGACTGATTTATGCCACAAGATGTCAATATTTAACCAAAAACTATTTGAGAATCAAGAATTACTAAGCTGCACAAAGGATGAAAACTGAAATTCAGGGCGTATTTTTTTGGAACACTTTGTCGACTAGCCCATGTTGTGTAATAAAATGCATATGGTTGATACAGATGCAATTTAAAGAGATATACACTTTGATAGTAACTCTGGGCGTTAATATGTTCAGACCATTACACTATCAGTTACCACTTAAAATATATAGACATAACATGGAGACAAATAAACTACATCTTGGATTGATAGAGGATGTGGCTGTCTTCCATATTCCTATAGCTCCTCTTCTTTCCCATGCATACAGATTTTGTTGCTGTTGTTTGCGGGGGAAAAAAAACAAAACAAAGAGCAACTGCTAGTCAGCATGGTAAATTACCTGAATGACCTAAAATATGCAGCCCTTCAAATTCAATAAAAAGAACAAAATTTGAGTCATTGAAATATAAGAGAGTACCATAATAATCACATTTAAAATAATCTGATCAAGTTCCCACATCACTTAAAGTAATTTTGTTTAAGATCATCACGGGAAAAAGAGTTCATGTGCTGGAATACTTAAAATTAACAGTGGAAGTTGAGGTCAACCAGAGCAACAAAATGATCCATCACTTTTCATAGAAGTGTGATGAAAAGATCTGTATCACAGGTCTAACTTTCATCAGTAATAAAGAATAGATTTTTTAAAAGAATATAGTTTGCTCTTAAAACAAACAAACAAGAACAACCAAAAAGTAAAGAATTTGAAAAGCCAGTTGTAAATATGGTCAGTCATTAGAAACAAAAGTGTTTTATGTGAAGATGTCAATGAAAATTGCTAGAGTATGTTACTCTAGGCTTAAATAAACAAGGACAACAAAACAACAAAGTTCAGAGTTCTGTTGGAATTCATAGGCCATTGTGCTCAACACTTGAGTTGCTTTATGCTTTAAGCACATGACATGCATGTTTTTGTTCCATAAAATATATGCAATAGTCTACTTACATTTGGCTCTGACATATGTGCCTTTGTCTTTGTGTCTATGTACTACAAAAAACATACTTGACTGTGGACTGGTTCTTGCACACATCTGACTCTTAGCATATACACTACATAACTTAAAAAGACACAATTTTTCTGCTTTTTACTTTTTTGGTGAGTGAACAGTACTACTGACCCTTGTGTTCTGTAGGCTCTCACTTCTCTATGTGGGCATTCACTTGAACCCAAGTTTTTCTTCAGTTTCTCATACTATAATTTAGTCTAAATGTTGTGAGTTTACCGCTTCTTAAATTGAGATACAAGTTCTCATCCTTGCGGGTAAAGTTTTGTATGTTTGCACTCTGCTTTGCCTTTTCTTCTTTTGCCTGCAGCAAAGCAGTCTTAGCTATTTGTGTCAATTCAATTAGATCTGCACTTTTTTTCCAGAATGTGGCTTTGACTGTATCCTTTCTTGCTTTGCTTCTTCCCCATGATTCTAATTTATTTAGATAAAACTTCTTGCTTCCAGTTAAAGGACTCCTGTGGCCTAAGGTCATTTCAGCTTTTTTCCCTCACCTTCAACAATGATGCAGGTCTTCATTGCCCACTTGTTAAACAGTAAAGCAGTTGTATTCACGCTTTCTCCCACACTGTCTGGAGTAACTGTGGTTGTCACAAAACTTTCTTCAT